AAAAAAAAAAAAAAAAAAAAAAAAAAAAAAAAAAAAGAAAAAGAAATTTTGACTGGCTTGATTTTTTTTTTCCTTCCCCATGTGTCTCTTCACATGGGTTGGGCTCTCAAAGTCCCTTCTTACACCAGGGAAAAATACTAACCCACTAGACTGGCTTGATCTTGTGCAACTTCTCTGGGCTCATGAGTTCAAAGACCATGCCATCTACCTAAAAGCGTTTCTCAGCATTCCTTCCCATCTTCCATCTCTTACGTTCTTTTCACTCCCTTCTCTAACTTTTTTTTTTTCTTTTTTCTGAAACAGGGTTTCTGTTTGTAATAGTTCTGGCTGTCCAGGAACTCACTCTGTAGACCAGGCTGGCCTTGAACTCAGAATGTAGTGTTGCCAGGCAGTGGTGGTGCACACCTTTGGACCCAGCACCCTGGAGGCACAGGCAGGAAGTTCTCTGTAAGTTCGAGGCCAGCCTGGTCTACAAAGATATTCATAGAAACCCTGTCTGTCTAGAGGTGTGTAGCAGGGGAGAATGTGACAGATTTATCAACGAATCGGGAAGAATTCCTTCTTTTACTGAGTTGACTTTCTAGTAGGGGACAGTAGGTAACAAGTGAAAGAACAGGCAGGCTAACAGGAGATAGCAATTAGGAGGAAAATTAAACCGGGTACTGTGAGAATGGGTCAGGGGTCCGGAGTGCTTCTCCTATCTCAAGAGGTCAGAAAAGGCCTTCCTGATGAGGGCACCTCTGAGCTGAGACCAGGGTGATGAGTAGCTGGAGAAGGTTACTGACTCTAACAGGTCAGTCTGGCTCTGGTGTAAGATATTGACAAACGAGGGAGGCTGTGCATGTGTGGAGGCAAGGGTTTTTTTTTTTTTTTTTAAGATCTGTTATGTATACAGTGTCTGTCTGCATGTTTGAAGAGGGTAACAAATCTCATTATAGATGGTTGTGAACCAATATGTAGTTGTGGGGAATTGAACTCAGGATCTCTGGAAGAGCAGTCAATGCTCTTAACCTCTGAGCCACCTCTACAGCCCTGAGGCAAGAGACATTTAGGAAGTCTCTTTAACTTTAACTCAATTCTGCAGCAAACCTCAAAATATTCTATTAAAAATAACATTTTGCTAAACACAGTGGTTCCTGTCTAAAATTTGGAAGGCTGAGGTACGAGGGTTGCCTCAAGTTTTAGGTTACATAGTGAGTTCCAGGTTAGTCTGAGAGTGAGATCTGTCCTAAGAAAGTTGGGGCTGGGAGGTGGTAGTGTATGAACTTTTAATCCCAGCACTGAGGAGGCAGAGGCAGGTGGATATCTGAGTTTGAGGCCAACCTGGGCTACAGAGTGAGTTCCAGGAAACTTGGGGATCTGGATATGGTAGCATATACACCTATATGTATGCTGGAGCGCTCTGGAGGGTGAGGATCATAAGCTCAGGGGCAGCCTGGGCTACACAGTGAAACCTTGTCTAAATTCATGGGACAGAAGATGTAGTTGTAAATTACCTGTCTAGCGTTGCAGAGTCCTTTCTTTGATGCTTAGCACTATAAAACAAAAGCAAGCAAAATCCACCCAACAAATATTAAAGTACAAAATCCCATAAACAGAGAAAGCACCAGTGGCCAGGCAGTGGTGGTGCACACCTTTAACCTCAGCACTCGGGAGGCAGAGGCAGGCGGGATCTCTTTGAGTTCAAAGCCAGCCTGATCTATAAAGCGAGTGCCAGA